CACTGTGCTGGGCCCCCCAGCAGGCCTCGAAAATGGCGACAGTTTCGCAGATCGCAGCCCCCCAGGGATGGCGAGGTCTAGTTTGAATCCGCCCGTGGCCCTCACTGTGCTGGCCCCCCAGCAGGGCTCGAAAATGGCGACAGTTTCACAGATCGCAGCCCCCCAGGGATGGCGAGGTCTAATTTGAATCCGCCCGTGGCCCTCACTGTGCTGGCCCCCCAGCAGGGCTCGAAAGTGGCGACAGTTTCACAGATCGCAGCCCCCCGCAGGCAAGACAGAAAGAGGCAGGAAAGAGGCGGGAGGCGGGAGGAGGAAGGACGCGACCACACTGCTCTATTCAAAACGAATACCCAACCAAGGAGGGTTGGGAAAAAAAACAGTAATGGTATTGTTTATGCCATCAATACTGCCAATAATCATAACCATAGTCACGACACTACTTTACTACTACTACTACTACTACTACTACTACTACTACTACTACTACTACTACTACTAATAATACTGCTACTACTAATACTGCTACTACTAGTCCTATTACTACTACTACTACTACTGCTACTACTACTATTACGACGACTACTACTACTGCTACTACTACTACTCCTACTACTACTTACTCGTCATTTACGACGACGATTACTATTACTACTCATACGAATGCAAATAACCTGATTAAGTACAAGACAACTAATTGTAATGATGATGGTACGAGTAATAACCATCATATACGAATGCTGATGCTAATGCTAATGATGAGGCGAATAACGATGCTAATAATAAGAATAGGAGGGGGAGTAAGGGAGGGATTCCGCTGCTGCTCCTGAGGTGAGGGAGGAGAATGAGAAGGAGGAAAAGGAATAGGACGATACTGATGCTACTGCTGCTTGGTCGCTAGTGTGGGTGACGATGTCTGGACCCGGGGGAGGGGGGGGGCTGGGGCAGGGCGATCTGAGGGACGAGACGGTGGCTCCGATGAGAGTGTCAGGGCGGCGGTGGTGGTGGTGGTGGTGAGGCTACTGCTGCTGCTGCGGTTGCTGCTGCTGCTGCTGGTAATGGTGATGGTGATGATGATGATGATGATGATGATGATGATGATGATGATGATGATGATGATGATGACGATGCTGATGATGCTGGTGCTGATACTGATGATGTTGATGGTGCTGATGATGATGATGCTTACGACGACGCCCACGGCGACGACGACGATGCTGGTGATGATGGTGGTTGTGTTGGTGATGATGATGCTGATGATGTTTATGACGATGATGATGAGGATGCTGCAGATGATGATGATGATGATGATGATGCTGCTGATGCTGATGGTGATGATGATGGTAACGATTTTGATGGTGATGGTGATAATGATCGTGATGATGCTGCTGCTGCTGATGATGTTGATGGTGCTGATGATAATAGTGATGCTGACGACGACGAGCACGACGACGACGAGATGATGATGCTGATGATGATGATGCTGATGATGATGATGAAGATGCTGCAAATGATGATAATGACAATGATGATGATGATGATGATGATGACGATGATGATGATAATAATGATGATGCTGATGATGATGATGATGATGGTGGTGGTGGTGGTGATGATAGTGATGATGATGATGATGATGATGATGGCGGTGGTGGTGGTGGTATTGGTGGTGATGATGCTGATGATGGTGGTGGGGGGGGGGGGGGGGGTGATGATCTGGTTTGCGATGATGATGATGATGATGCTGGCATATGATGATGCTGGCTGATTGATAATGCTGATTGATTTTGAGTGGTGATGATGCTAATGATGTTGAATCGTACTGTTTGTTGGATGATGATGGTGTGAGTGGTGTGACGGTGATGGTGATGTGATGGCGATGAATGATGATGATGGATATGATGATGATGATGATGTGATGATGATAGTATGATTGATGAATGATGATGATGACGTTGATGGTGATGGTGATGTGATGATGAATGATGATGATGGTTATGATGCTGATGATGATGATGATGCTGATGCTGCTGATTCTGATGCTGCTGCTGATGCTGAGAGGCTGATGATGATTAATGCTGATGATGATGATGCTAGCGCTGATGGATGATGATGGTGATGATGATGATGATGATGATGATGATGATGATGATGATGATATGATGATGATGATGATGATGATGATGATGATGATGATGATGATGATGATGATGATGATGATGATGATGATGATGATAATGATAATGTTGATGATGTTGATGATGCTGCTGCTGCTGATGATGATGATGCCGATGATGACGACGATCGTGGATAATGATGGCCGATCTGGGCAGCTTTCGTCCTCCACATCTGCCTCCTCCTCCACCTCCTCCCCCTCCTCCCCCTCCTCCTCCCCCTCCTCCTTCCCTTTAGGGGGAAGTTTCCCCTTTTCCTCTGCCCCCTCTTCCTCCTCCTCCTCCCCCTCCTTCCCCTCCTCCTCCTCCTCCTCCTCCTCCTCCTCCTCCTCCCCGTCCTCCTCCTCCTCCCCGTCCCTCCTCTTCAAGCCAGCGAAATACCGACTCCAGAACCCTCCAGTTCCAGAGCCGACTCCAGGATTCCGAAAATCCAGACGAGGGAGATTGCGACAGGGACCCTGGGACCGAAAGACGGTATACAACAAGCTGTGTAAGGCACCGACCCAAACTGCACATGTACCTGGTCAGTTCAAGCTGGATAGCACTAGCTTCACGAGCCCGACATCGATTACAGAGCTGTCACAGCCCGAGATGGCCACGATCGTGCGCAACGAGCAGCAGCAGCAGGACGCGAGTGGGGACACAAGCTTCGGCCACGAGAAAACGGTGACCAACATAGCAAAGACGGAGCAGGATATCCTGATGGCCGACACCAGGGTGAAGGAGGCAATCAACTGCGTGATCGCAAGCATGAAGAGGTCGGCAGCTTGCGAGACGGGGGCGGTGCAGCATGCCGACCAGCGAGGACCACGAGACTCGCATGCCCAGCGAGGGTGGACATGCCTACGTCGGCAAGCAGCCGGAGCACCTGGAGGAGGTCAGCGCCGAGCTTTTGGAGAGGCGCTGGGCCTGCCGGAGCACGCGCCGCCTCTCCTCATCCGGCCGTTCCCGAAGCAGAAACGCTACAACGAACTGCATCAGGAGGAGGAGGAGGAGGAGGAGGAGGAGGAGGAGGAGGAGGAGGGAGGAGGGATGGAGGAGGAGGAGGAGGAGGAGGGAGGAGGAGGGAGGAGGGAGGAGGAGGAGGGAGGAGGGAGGGAGGAGGGGGGAGGAGGGAGGAGGAGGAGGAGGAGGAGGAGGAGGAGGAGGGAGGAGGAGGAGGAGGAGGAGGAGGCGGAGGAGGAGGAGGACGAGGAGGACGAGCTCAGCGGCGCAGACGAGGTGAGCAGCAAGCAAAAAAGGGGGGTGCTCGCCAGTAGGAGGACTTTCTCCCCCAGTCAGTGAGGAGATTTTCCCACGCAAGGCTTGCAAAAGGGGGACCCCGGGAGAGAGTTAACGACGACCCAGGAGCATGTGAAATAGGGTATAACGACGACCACAACTCTCCGGAAACGACCTGAGTCCCTTTTAAAAAAGAAAAGGATTTTCCAGGAGACATCCTCAGCTCCCCGAGTTCCGCTTGTCCCTCCTTTCTCGTCGTCGTCGTCGTCGTCCTCCTCCTCCTCCTCCTCCTCCTCTTCCTCTCTCCCCTCCGAGCGGGCAGTGGGGCCTCGGGCGAGGCAGACGTTGGCTCTCCCGCGCCCGCCGCCGCTCTCCCTCTCGTCCCCTCGTCATCGTCGTCGTCGTTTTCGTCGTCGTCGTCGTCGTCGTCGTCGTCGTCGTCGTCGAGGTCGGCCGTGTCGTCGTCCTCCTCCGAGCCTCGGACGTGCCGCTGCCTGTCCGTAGGCTCCGCGCCGCTTGGTGCTGGACAGGGAAAGCCCCTGCTGTGGGGGGCCCTAGAGCGTTATGGTTTCTTTAAGCTGCTATCTGGGCCCTCCTGAGCAGGTCCTCTGACGAGGCCTGCGATCTCGTGACCGCGGAGGAACCTAGATGCTCCACAGGCCTAGTATCCTTGCTTTGCCTGCTCGGAGTCGTGCCCAGCCGTCTTTGTCCTCCTCTTCCTCCTCCTCCTCCTGTTCCTCTTCCACCTCCTCCTCCTCTGTTCCTTCTCCTCATGTGTGAGTCCTCCCTGTCTCGACCTGAAGCTGGTCGAAAGGGCGGGCCGGGCGTTTCGCTTGATATTGTTTGTCTCTGATGCCCCGTAAGCTTCAACGTTGGCAACATTTTCAAGCTGTGGTTTTCAAAGCGTGGTTCTCGCCTCAGCGCCGCGCGCATTCGTTCGAACGAACTGCAAACCACTTGCGGAGTGAGGATAGCTGGTTTTCAAAGTGTGTCGCTCGCCTTAACCCCGCGCCTATTCGAATAGAACATGTGCAAGGGCTTCGCGGATTGAGGGCGGTTCCTTTTCAAACTGCGGCTCTCGCGTTCGCGCCGCGCTTTCTCGTTTGACGACGCTTGCAAGAGTTTCAAGGGTCTCTATGGTTGACGTATCAGAAACAGTGTTTTGGAACGGTCCATGATCGCCAAGGTGCAGCAGTTGCGCTGGTTCGCGGTGTTGAAGTCCCAGGGGTGGTGTTCGGGCGCGATTCAGCATCATGCGCTGCGGCAGGTCAGTCCCGATAATGCACTGGCGTTGAAGTTCCGAGCATGTTGTGTTGGCGCGCTTCAGGGTGTTCAAGCGGTTTTCCCCTGACGGGGAAGTTCGTTCGGTGGAAACGAATCTTTGTACGGGCCTGTGAAAATGGACCTTGTGGGGGGGAGGTGATTCAAACATCGTAGATGAGTCTTGAGTTTACACTAGTCCTCCTCCGCCTCCTCCTCCTCCTCCTCTTCCTCCTCCTCCCCTTCGTCCTCGTTCCCTCCTCCTCCTCCTCCTCCTCCTCCTCCTCCTCCTCCTCCTCCTCCCCGCTCCTCTGGGTGATACGGCATGCTGCGGCCCGCCGCCCGCAGGCCTTCGGCGGCGCAAGCAGCCTCTGCCGCCGCTCCGAAGGCCCCGCGGGGGGGCGGGGGGCGCCTCGAAGGCAGGTGGCTGCACGAACGGATGGGGGGGCGGATGTCGAAAGTGAAGGAGGAGGAGGAGAGGGAAGAGGAGGAGGAGGAGGAGGAGGAGGACGAGCACGAGGACGAGGAGAGAGGACGAGAGGAGGAGGAGGAGGTGAGGAGGAAGAGGACGATGAACAGAGGAAAAGGAGGAAGGGGGGAAGAGGAGGCGGAGGAGGAAGAGGAGGCGGAGGACGAGGGGAGAAGAGGAAGGGGGAGGAATAGAAAAGGAAAGGAGGCAGGAGGAGGAGAGGAGGAGAAGGAGGAGGAGGAGTAGGAGGAGGAGGAGGAGGAGGAGGAGGAGGAGGCGGAAGAGGGAGAAGAGGACGAGGAGGAGGCGGAGGAGGAGGAGGATGAGGAGGCACAGTAAGAGGAGGAGGAGGAGGATGCGGAGGAGGAAGAGGATGAGGAGGAGAAAGATGATGATGATGAGGAGGAGGAAGATGAACGTGATGATGCTGCTGATGATGATGATGATGATGGTGATGTGGATGATGCTGATGATGATGCTGCTGATGATGCTGATGCTGATGCTGATGATGCTGATGATGATGGTGGTGGTGGTTGTGATGATGATACTGCTGCTGCTGATGATGATGCTGCTGCTGATGATGATGCTGATGATGATGATGCTGATGATGCTGATGAGGATGATGCTGCTGATGATGACGCTGATGATGCTGATGCTGCTGATGATGATGATGCTGTTGCTGATGATCATGATGCTGCTGCTGCTGATGATGATGCTGCTGCTGATGATGATCATGCTGATGACGATGACGGCGATTCTGATGATGATGATGATGAAGCTGAATCTGATGATGATGATGCTTTTGATGATGATGATGATGCTGATGATGCTGATGACGACGATGATGCTGCTGATGATGATGATGCTGATGATGATGCTGATGCTGATGATGATGATGATGATGATGATGATGATGATGATGATGATGAAGATGAATATGATGATGATGATGATGATGATGATGATGATGCTGCTTTTGATGATGATGATGCTGATGATGATGCTGATGATGATGCTGATGACGACGATGATGCTGCTGATGGTGATACTGATGATAATGATGCTGATGATGATGATGATGATGATGACGATGATGATGATTATGATGATGATGATGCTGCTGATGATGCTGTTGATGATGATGCTGATGCTGATGCTGATGCTGATGCTGATGATGATGCTGATGATGATGATGATGATGATGACGATGATGATGATGATGATGATGATGATGATGATGCTGATGATGATGCTGATGATGATGATGATGATGACGATGACGATGCTGATGACGATGATGATGATGCTGCTGCTGCTGATGATGATGATGATGATGATGATGGTGGTGGTATTGATGATGATGATGATGATGATGATGATGATGATGATGATGATGATGCTGATGATGATGATGATGATGATGATGATGATGATGATGATGATGATGATGATGATGATGATGATGATGAAGAAGAAGAAGAATAAGAAGAATATGATGATGCTGATGCTGATGCTGATGCTGATGCTGATGCTGATGAGGAGGAGGAGGAGGAAGAGGAGGAAGAGGAGGAGGAGGATGAGGAGGAGGAGGAGGAGGAGGACGAGTGAGGAGGAGGAGGAGGAGGGGGAGGCGGAGGAGGAGACGGATGAGGAGGATGAGGCGGAGGAGGAGGAGGAGGATGACAATGAGGAGGAGGATGAGAAGGAGGAGGAGGAGGATGAAGAGGAGGAGGACGAGGATGAAGAGGAGGAGGAGGAGGAGGAGGAGGAGGAGGAGGCAGAGGAGGAGGAGTCGGAGGATGAGGATGAGGATGACGAGGAGGAGGATGAGGAGGACGAGGAAGAGGATGAAGAAGATGAGGAGGAGGAGGAACAGGACGAGGAAACCTAGAGGAATAGAATTAGGATGCTGATGATGCTGCTGATGATGATGATGCTGCTGATGATGATGATGATGATGAGTATGATGATGCTGATGATGATGATGATGCTGATGATGCTGCTGATGATGATGCAGATGCTGATGATGCTGATGATGATGCTGATGATAATGCTGATGATGATGCTGCTGATCATGCTGATGATGATGACGATGATGCTGCTGATGATGATCATGATGATGATGCTGATGATGATGCATATGCTGATGATGATGATGATGATGATGGTGGCGGTGATGATGGTGATGCTGATGCTGCTGCTGATGATGATGACGCATATGCTGCTGATGATGCTGCTGATGATGATGACGATGATGATGATGCTCATGATGCTGATGATGGTGAAGATGCTGACGATGATGATGCTGATGCTGCTGATGATGATGATGCTGATGATGCTGATGATGCTGCTGATGCTGATGCTGATGCTGATACTGATGCTGATGATGATGATGATGATGCTGCTGATGATGATGATGATGATGATGATGACGATGACGATGCTGATGACGATGATGATGATGCTGCTGCTGCTGCTGATGATGATGATGATGATGATGGTGGTGATGGTAGTGATGATGATGCTGATGATGATGATGATGA